CACACGGGATGATCAATTAGAGAGGAAAAAGCACCTGGTACAACTTCTGGGAGCCCCAAAGATAACTGTGAAGAAAGGAGCCACTGGGCACCTGAAGGATGGACAGAACAGAGTTGGCAGAGAGTGAGGATTATGCTGTGCTCAAGGTGGCTCTAGGGGTGTGTGTGTGTGTGTGTGTGATGGGAGCAAGCAGCAAGTGAGGCAGGAGAACAAGACACAGGAGCCAGATTCAGTAGGTCCTGTAGGACTATGCGGCCCTGGGCACCTGGAGCATGCCAAGGCACAGGGCACAGCAGCAAGCCTACAAAACTTTGTTCAGTGAGTGCGCAAAGGGTTGCGCAGCCACCCATGATCAAATCAATATGTGAATGTGATTGGAAGAAAAAGACCTGTGGGGTGAGTGTATGGCCAAGCAGTGAAGATGGAGCGTCCGAGCGCTGGGTTCACATCCCCTCTCTGCCTCTTGCTGGGGGCAAGCAGGTGATGACTGGTGGGTACCTGCTACCCACAGGGGAGACCTGGCATGACTTCCTGACTCCTGGCTAGGCCCAGTCCTGACAGTGCAGTCTCTCAAACGTATGATTTAAAAAATGTTTTATTTTTGTTTGTTTGTTTCTAAATAAAAGTCAGCCCCTCTCCCTCTATTGAGGTATCTGGGAATCGAGGGTTGATCTTGGTACAGTGCTCCGCACCCATGCGTTTCCCAGCAAGTAGCAGGGACCTCATGTGTCACTGTCCTTCCTTACTTAATCACTGGCCAGCTGCAGAAGCCACTGCACAGAATCCCTGAGTCACACAGCGGCCCAGCGCTTCCTTCCTGGTCTGGCGCTGAGCGATACTCCCATGTGGCTTTCGCGGTCAGAAAACGTATGCTGGCTGGGAATTCTGCCACAGCAGGACCCCCTGAAGCTGTCCACCAGGGCACACGACCTGCATACAAGGAGGCTGACTGGATGAGCCCTCGCCTGTGCCGCATCAGCCTGTATTGCATTCGGGAGCTTATTGCTGCTTTGTCTCGTGACTGTTTCCCAGCAGATCTGTGCATGAGTTATTTCAAAAAGTTCACAGCCATGCAGATGCCCTGGCTAGGCTTCTGCCCACAGCGCTGGTATCCTATATGAACAATGGTTTGTATCCTGGCTGCCTCATTTCCAATCCAGCTCCCTGTTTATGGCCTGACAATGATGCTGAGGATGTCTCAAGTCTTTGGGCCCCTGTATCCATGTGGGAGACCCAGAGGAAGCTCTTGACTCCTGGCTTCAGATTGGTTCAGCTCTGGCCATTGTGACCATTTGGGCAGTGAACTAGCACATGGAAGATCTCTCTCTGTTACTGCCTGCAACTCTGACCTTCAAATAAAAATAAAATAAATCTTAGAGGCAAAATATGTTTGTTTTGGTGCCAAAAATGTTGAAATTCATGTCTAGTTTTTTCAAAATACACATTTTCATGAGCTTTTTGAAAACTCATAGTATATACATTTTGCATTTGAAAAAGATTTATTTATTTATTGGAAAGGCAGAATTAGAGAGACAGAGAAAAAACAGAGAAAGACTGAGGAAGATCTTCCACTGGTTCACTGCCTCCCATATGGCTGCGTTAGCCAGGGCTGGAGAAGGCTGAACCCTGGAGTGTGGAACTCCAGGCAGGTCTGCCAAAGGATAGTAGGGGTGCTGGTGCTAACCATCTTCCACTGCTTTCCCACCTCATGAGCAGGGAGCTGGACTGGAAGTGGAGCAGCCAGGACTCTAACTTATGCTCATGTGGGATTAAAAAAAAATTTTTTTTTTTTATCCACTGAGCCACATCAGCTTTCCCCAAGTTTAGTGGTTTTAGCAAGTTAGCCTGTCTTCTCTGATTTAGGCTCCCTCACGCAACGCTGGGCAAACATGATGGTGCTGGCTGAGTGGCTGCTAGGCGCGCAATGGTGGGAGGGTGCCCTTGGGAACCTGCCTCCTTCAGGTGTCCTGATATGTTTAGCAACGTCTCCCAGCAATGGAGCTGGATTCTCTGCAGCAGTTAAGAGCAGAAATGGTACAGCCAGACAGCTGGGTGCCACGAAGGGCCTGGCTCGTGAGAACCATCAGGTTCCCTCTGGGACCTAACAGTCTTCAAGCTAGCATGTTATATAAGCTTCCAGCATACTTGTCATTGAATCAAATGAAATGGACTTCTTCAAAGGAAGTGTTTTTAATACAGCAGTTTTTTTTTTAAATCAATAGATTAAAATTGAACACATGGACTAAATCTGGCATATTTATATATTGTATCTAAGTAGAAATTCAAAGTGGATAATAATATCACAATAAAAAAACTATCTCTTTCTGTCTGTTAAACCTTTGTGCCATTGTAGCAGTCGGGCTAATTACTGAGCAAAGAAATGATAATTACACAGAGCTTTGCTGCTAAAAGAAGGGATCCTCTCCAGCACCCAGTGCTGCGCAGTTTTCTGAGACCCTGGAACACGACTTTGGAACGGCCCAGAAATTTGCATTTCTGTTTAAGTGCTGGAAATCATAAACTGTTTCTAGAAGGTTAAGGGAGGGGTAATGATCCAAGAGGAAAATAGAAAACTAATGACCCTTCATGAAACATATTATGCTCCCCATTAAACTTACTAAGTTAAATTTGTTCCATTAGATTAAAATACATAGGACCTGAACCTTTACCGCGGAGTAGTAAACTATGCTTTATGCTAGATCCGTTCTGAGAGTGAATGCCAGCACTCTTTGGTGGACCCAGCTTGATCTAGGTCTTTAGGCTACAGAGGCTCCCACGTGTCATGGGTCTATGGAGTCACTGGGGAACTTAGGATGCACAAGCTTTCTACCCAAATCCCATCTTCTCCATCAGGTACCCCTCACATGGATTTCCACCATCAGCATTTTGGAAAATACCCACGTGGGGGTGATGTACAGTTTTATCAAGCAGAGGGAGGCATCCTTCCTTTCTCTTGATCAACCTCTGATTTTAGAAAAGTGTGTGAAAGCCACGCAGCTCACGGGAGTGTGCAGATGTGGCTGAGCTGAGCACATGCAGTCACATTCATCCATAGAACAGAGCCACTGAATATGTAGGCTTGACCTAAGATTTCTGAAAGTTTTTAGAAAAACAGAGATTTTTAAACTATTGATTCAAAGGGAAAGAAATTCTAAGAATCTATTTCCCTTCCTTCCTAAAATTACTGCTTTTTAAAAATAATAGTGTTGGAGGTGTCTTTTGAAGTCCAAGCCTTCATTTTTAAGATGTGAGGACTTCATCAGTAGAGGCCGACTGTGTACAAGCCAAGCATTCAGGTGCACGGTCTCTGGCCGCCACTGGCTGCTCTGCTCATGGCCTTGGAAGGGTCTGGAGCACACACCTTCATCTGCCCCAGTCTGCCACAGGATGGGAAATCTGAGGTCACCTTTACGTCACCAAGGATCTTCCTCAGCAAAACTCTGACCGTGAATATCCTAGAAACACCTATTTTAAAATCCTATTTTAAAGGCAGCACATTTTCCAGCTTCCAACTTGAATTCAGATGATTTTATTCATAATGATATAGGGTTTTGTTTAGAGTCGTTTTGCTTTTGGATTTTCAAACCTAGGAGCGTTTGTACATCCGTGCTCGCACACACTCACACAAAACACCTGTAAGAGTTGACAGCCACCTAGTTCTGTACGCCTTCATGTTCATGTTTTTTCAAATTTACATGTGCATATGAATAAAGAAGTATGTGCAATATGCAGCCGGTACATTTCATGGGTCCTCTACGAATCCAACAACAGAATAAGCACTGAATGGCAATGATTGGTTCATGAGAAACTAAAACGACACGGGGCATTTTAAGCACATGCTCCGCTAGGTCTAGGTAGTTTACTTCTCTCTCTCTGACACTGTTTGCTTGTCTGGTTAGGCAAAATGAAACCACCCATCCATTCAACATTTCTGAAAAGTTTCCAAACACAAACAAAGAAGGAGTGTTGAGTCTCAGACTACTGCTGACAGGTCAAAGAGATGGATATGGGAGGCACATTCATCTGGTCAGGGTTCATGCTAGATTTCTTGTTCACAATCTGTAGCCATGCAAGCAATGGAAAGAAGGATGCCAACTTTGGCAAACTCAATCTGAGCACATACTTTCCCAATAGGATTAACTTGCTTTTAATTCTGGGAAAACATGACCGACATAACCCAGGATATGACAGGTGGACAAAAGGTAAGGAGAACAGACAGATGGGAACCATTCTCACCAGCCTTCCTCCTTTTGGGCTTAGCAGCCATTGTGCCTGTGGGATGTTAGAAGAGAATGGCACCGAAAGAGGGGATTGGCCTGAAGTTTTTAGCAAATCCCAATCAAAATGTATGTCATGTTACTAATGTTCATCCATCTAAGATAGTTTCTGAATTTTACCCTGCTTATTTATCTTTGTCATCATCAACATTTTAAATGTGATTTTGATAAAACACTGAGCAAACGTTTAGATTCATTTTCTCCTAGCTTCTGCTACCACATACATCAACAGTTCTTACTGCAATAGAAAATGATGTAATTTGGGGTGGGGGTGGGGGAGAAACATCTTTAGGAAAATGATTGCCATTACTCTTCCAGCAAGAACATATTTCAAAGAATTAATTAGGAAGAAGAGACAGAAAGTGAAAAATTGGGAATGGAAGGTTGGCATGAACTCATATTTCAAAATACGTTTTTTTTGAACTACGTTAGAAAATCATGAGAAGTCATCTAAAATGTGGTGAGCTGTCTCCTGAACATAGTTTGCCATCCTGGTGGCAGGGATCATTCCGGAAGGACAAGGTCATTTGTGTAGCATGGCAGCAAGGGCAGCTCGTGAGACCTTCCCTGTTCCCACAGCCCTTTATGCTGTGTGGGGGACAGAGAGGTGTAGCAGTATCTGGGGTGACAACCCTGGGACCGTGTGTGGGTGGTGATGAGCATCCCAAAGAAAAGACAGTGGCAGGCACATGCAGGGGACAGGTGCCAGCGCGTCGCCCTCACCTCCACGATGTCTGAGTTTGTCCGACTCTCGTGCGGCTCGTTGTACTCTGTGTACTTGAGCAGCACCTTGTCCATGTCCGTGCTGGCGTACTGGAACAGCTTGTTGGTGCTGTTGAAGATGATGAGGGCGATCTCGCAGTCGCAGAGCACACTCAGCTCGTACGCCTTCTTCATCAGCCCAAACTTCCTCTTGGTAAACGTCACCTGGCACAGAGGGAAAACAGGCACGTTTTTTTCAAGACAGAAAGTCATGCATGTGTAGGTTTTGATACACACACATATATATACATACATATATATATTTATATATAATACAGAAAATAATTTTCCTTTGCAAAACAATGGTGTGCAGTTGTCAGGGCCCCTGGGCAGTAACACATTTGGAAGAAAGGATAATAGAAATAAACCTGAAACTAATTTCTGTTTAGATTTTGAAAATATATGATTTCTAACCTGTTGCAGAAACTGTAAGATTCAATGTAGATAAGTTTAATAAAGGTGACCAGAGATCGACTTCACATTTCTTAGAGCAGTTTAAGATTTAAAATAATTTCAGCATCTTTAATATCCTTCCTATGTTTGGAGCTTATCTGTTGAAACCTGAAGCCTGGACACAACATTATAAACCCAGCATTACTCAGTATTTTAGATTGGTGCTTACAATCAGTGTTAAAATTGTCTAGTTTCATGCCTTTTGCTTGAAAATACTTAAAGGAATGTGACTGTGTTCTTGAACAATCTCTCATTGGGTTTCCCAGCAATCCAGTTAACATCTGGAGAAATAATTGAGCCCTAATACTGCTAGTGTTTTGGTTACATTATTCTATTTATCTGCTTCCCGCCCCCACCCCTCAGGCCAGAAATTACAGCTATCTCTTTTTCTTCTCTTAATCTAATCTATTCCCAACTCCCATAATTCCTTTCCTCAAAATATTTCTCAGGTTCACACTTCCCTATCTCTCTGTAGGCTCTGTCACTCACACGCTTATCACTCCACTTCCGGACTGGCAGGCTGTTTCCTGTCCTAGCAGCTAGCCCTGCCTCCAATCATTCCCCCTGGGATTGACCCAAGCTGTCCATCCTCACTCTCCAAGCTGCCTTTCTTCTGCTCAGTATCCTCTTCCTAAGTCCTGTGAATTTCCCACCTGCCACTCCTACCCAATGCAAGTAGGAGTATCCCCCTTCTTCTTGATTATAAACTTCAGCTTGCCACTCCAGCCTGCCCTTCCTGAATATCAGGCCACCGCAGGGGACTTCAAAAAGTTTAGGGAAAATGGAATTAAACAATAAGCTCGAAAGTGAAAAAATGCATACAAGGAGTCTTCAAAAAGGTTTTGGAAAATGCCTTTTGTGGAAGAAATCTAGGCTGGAATCTCCAATTTTTTTTTTTTAATCTAAATAAGCTTTGAAACATTCAGTATCAACAAACTTTTTGCGGTGTCTTCTTGCATATGGTCAGTGTTTCCCAACAGGTATTCGGAAGAGAATCGTTCCTGGACCATAACAATTTAATGTCCAGCACATTGGGGAAGTGAAGCATGCTAACAGTGACGGCTGAGAAAGCGAACTTGTCTGCTTTCCATTCCTGACAGCAACCTTTGCTTCTTGGTTGATTTGCTGTAGGCAGTGTTTCATAAACTAGGCTTGGTGCCACTCACCCTTGGAAACATTCAGTCTCTGTATCTATAGTACCAGATGCACGGGCAGGGCATGGGTATAAAAACTTCATGGGGAAACCATCACGTAAGGTATGCAGATAGAGTGTGCGATATATCGCACACAAAGTTCTACCGCAGTCTTCCTCATAAACTTTTTAAGTGACTCACATAATGATTTTTAAAAGATAAATGCACATTTTACTGAATTGTAATTTTCTTCCTTGTAAGAAAGCAAAGAATCATGAAATTTGGCTCCCGGGAAGCCTGACCTTGAATGTTGGCTTTGCTATGTGATAGTCATGAGAAATTCACGTTACTTTTGAAGTTTTTCTTTTTCTTTTCTGTCATCTTCACAGTGGAGCTGACATCTTCTGTTCGGGTTGCTGGGAGAGCTGTATGAAGTAACAGACTGAGAGCATGAGGGCAGTGCTTCGAGCAGACTCTCCCAAACTCAGCGCTCAGCCCTTTCTAAGTTAGCAGCAGGAAAAGACAAACTAACTCAAGGCTTCTGTCCTTGTGGCTTGAAGAATCCACCAAGTACCGCTATTTGAGAATCCTCTCATTCCTGACCGATAAAGCCCACTGTGCTCCAGAATCACCCTTGGGGACAGAAAGCCTGGAGGAATTTACCAGCCTACGGTTCTCAGTAGATATCTGCTCAGATGTGTTATTTATGTTTCACCCTGGGCACTTCTTCTTGGCAGTAATTGCCAATGTCCAACCTCCTCTTTCATGTTGTGGCCTTTCTGACGCACTTCTGATAAAATAGAGCCGGCGTTTTCTTTCCCCATCTGAGTCCCATAGCACTTTAGAGTCTTTTCCCTCTGCTTTGATATTAAAGTTGGCTCATGGACTGTTTTTGAAATAAAGATGTATGATCACTAATCACTCAGATCTACGCAAATTGTCATTTAATAGTGCTTTTTGATGCAATTCAGTTATTAAATGGAATCTGCCTATCGGTATTTTATGTGCTGAAATAGCCTATAAAATATGTTCCATACCCAAGGCCCTGAACCAAAATACTTTCACATATCTAAAACCACTTTTATTCAGACTTCATGACCACAGGCTGTAGGTGGAATGTCTCAATACAGTATGGTTTCTGTTGTACCCAAACCTCAGAATGTAGCACGTTACAACACCCAGCATCAAAGCACACTGAGGTTCAGAAATATCATTAAAGCCACTATTTGTGTTTACTTTTTGGTGCTCCTCAACTTTTGTATAACCAAATAGGCTGCTGGATAATGCATGCTTATTCAATAATACTTGTCAGAAAAAGTCAGCGCATATAGCTTCTTTTCATTAAAACCGCAAACTGAAATGATGACTATATTAAAGCATTTAAGAAAGTATCTTCAAAATCTACTCTTAATTGCTCTAAACCTAATTCTGCATTATGTTCCTAATCTTTATAGCATACTCAAAATGTATTTTCTAATGCTTTTTCCTCATTGTTCATAGTTAGATAAAATTGTTTTTAAGCATTAAGCTTTCCAAAGAGATCTGGGATATTACTCTTCATTTAAAATCTGCCACTCAATGACAGAGATTGCAATTCAGAGCTTTTATACTTAAATATAATAATGTATTGTAATGATTACATTTTTCATAACTTGACAATAGTCTGTAATGGGGACAAGTCCATATTTCCCTTTCGATTGCGTATTTGAAACCTTAGGTGAGACACAAAGCTGTTTTTGTGATAGGCAAAGAGATGCTCTTTTCCAGCGTCTGCATCAATCAAGGTGCAGCAGGAGAACAGAACCAGCATCACTGGAGTACTGCAATTCAACATTTCGTTTTCAGAGTCAAAGAAGTGTGATGTATGCTTGGAAAACAAAGCTACTGTGTAAGCACGGCCCGCTTTTATTACCTCTTGTCTCTCAATAGCCGCAAAAGGTAATGATGATGTTCTATTAAGGTGTTCCAGGATTAATTTTGCTAGCAATCCTGAATTTTAAATCCTAGCTCAAGAGTGGGCAGCACATATCTTACTGAACAGTAGCATACCAGGTATGGTCACAAACTGAAGAAAGCCATGCTAGTTTAATTCTAGCGAAATCAAAGAAATCTGTTCACAGAAACTGAAGTCCAGTCCGTCCTTCCTGAGCATCCTCTGTGTGCTGGGCAGTGCTGGGCAGTGCCACAGAGCACTCCTCAGGTACACACTCACCAGGTGCAGGAATCTCTCCTTTGTGTGCCTCGTTTCCTTATGGTTTGAGCGAAAATAACCCACCATTCATTATCGAATGAACCTTGTTTCTTGATTATTAAGAGTCCTATTTTCAGTCACGTCTAATAATGTGCAATGATAGTTTCATCTAAAGGTGGGAGAATGTTCAGCTCCTGTTTTCAAAACAAGTCTTTGTCTAGACTGACGACCAAGAGGGATAGGACATCCGGTCACGTGTCTACGATGAGAGCTACCTGCTGGCCGCTGTCCTGCTCCCTTTCCACCTGGCCACTGGCAGGCTCCCACCAGACCGCAAGATCTGACTGTAGCTTCCACTGTCACACTCAGGTCAAACCGCTTCCTCCCATTGCTGGGCTCCTGCACTGCAAGCCTCTCCTGCACCCCACCATCGCAGGGTTGGCTGGCTGTGCCTCTGGCTCTCTTGCTGGCTTTGGAGCACACCAGTGATTTGCACTGGGTCCTCACCCAGTGTCTGTCCAGAGGATGCTAAACGAACGTTTGTTGAGCCAGTGCATTACGCAATGAAAATATTCCATCTTAAACTCTGAATCTCTCAGTATCATTTTCTGTTTAAAGCTGATATTTTTTACTTGCCTTTTGGAGAATTTGATCTCCAAGTGAGAGATTCTAGACTCACGTGTGAGAGGTCTTCAAAACATGTGGGTAAAATTAGTTTTATGAAAAAATTATGCACAGCAAGAGGAACACAGATGGAGACAAAGATAAAGAGATAGAAGGAATGAAAGTGATGTCTTTCATCCATTTGGTTCCCTTTCCAAATAACAGCAACAATTAGGTCTGGTCAGGCTGAAACCAGGGGCTAGAGTCTCCACCCAGGTCTCCCACATGGACAGCAGGGGCCCAGGCATTTGAGCCATCTTTTGCTGTCTCACTGGAGGCATTATCAAGAAGCTGGTTGGGAAGTGGAGTAACTAATATTTGAGCAAGTATAACCCACTGGGAACTTTACCCATTGCAGCACATCTGCCCCTAAATATTGTATGCACCCAAATAAGCCCATGTTCTGAGTCTGCTGTGTATTAATTCCCCTTCCTACAAGTGTGTGTTTATTTTGCTGAAAAGTTTGGCAAATTAGTGATTTTTATTAGATTTTTATTAGAAAGGCAGATCAGATTAACGGAGAGAAGGAGAGACAAAGATCTTCCATCTGCCACAAAGGCCAGAGCTGAGTTGGTCTAAAGCCAGGAGCTTCTTCTGGGTCTCCCACACTGGTGCAGGGTCCCAAGGTTTTGAGACATCCTCCCCTACTTTCCCAGGCTGTAAGCAGGGAGCTGGGTGGGAAGTTGACCCGTGCCCATATGGGATCCCATTGCTTCAAAGTGAAA